AATTAATAAAATGTCATATTTACAATATATTTAAATTAACTATTGAGATCCAAACGTTAAAGTATGAGAAATCCTCATATGCATATAAACAGTACATTCCATATCACCTGGACACATCAAGTTAATATACTGACAAGTCTAAACAGACACAGTCTTTTGTTCCGCCCTTCATAATGTGTAAGGGCGGGGGTACACCATTCCTCTGCTGCCAATACAATGCTGGTGAGTCTACAACTACAGTCAATTCATACTACACTACAAGCCACACTCATTTCACAGAAACGAATCCAGCAAGGTACGAAGAATAAAAATGTTTCACAGTTCTGGAGTCTGAAACCCTGAACCACAGGAAATACACACTTCATTAAACAAATATGGCATAAACGATAGTAGTCAGAGCTTTGCTTTTTCTCGACTCCCACACAACTTTCACATACGATGATATTACCAATAATTATTAGCAAAATGGTCCCTTTAACATAAAAGCATGTTTTTAAAAAAATTAATATGGGAAGCCACTTAATGTAACTGGTTCCATGGGACTATGAAGTACCAAGCACTTCAACACCAACACTAGAAGTAACTCTTCAGTAGTAATAAAGCTTTGATTTTCATTTGTTTCAAACAATATGTTATATGAATTATTCCTACTGCAGCTGGCTTCCTTATACGTTCAGACATCTTAGAAAACTTTGTACAGTGCATACGTATTTCCCACCGATGAATGGCAACCCAGAAGATTCATCAAAACTCATCATTATAAGAGATATAAAATGTAATTAACATTTCAATAGTTCATACTTTTGAATCAAAACTCCATTAAAGAATAACTGCTTTGACAGCTTATACACGTGATAAAATACATTTCCAAAACAGTCAAACCAAAGCAAACATTTCTTACATTAATATTATATAAAATTATTTCAGATATTTATTTCCAAAATAATTCCTGCATTATATGAAAGGAGGTACTTCTACAGTAGTGGACACAATGAACAAAGCACTGCTATGACATCCATACTACCCACTAGAGAAACAAAAGAGACTCCAGTAACTTTTTAATAATTATTTAACTGTCTACATCACACCTAGTTCCCACTGTAGATGGACTTGTGGGAACATCCCACATTATCACGCATTTCTGCAACGCTCGCTCTTCACATCACTTTTCACCATCACGCGCGCTAACCAATCAGATTGCTTCAAACGATCGCATTTATACTACGCTCGGCGATAGCCCGCGTCTACACCATTACGCGCGCTAGCCAATCAATTCTTGCTCCTCACTTTCGAGTTTGGCTCCGCCCCACCGACCAGCGTATAAAAAGGAGCGACTCCAGAACCGAGTTATCCAGTTTAATTCAGTTCGATTCAGTTCACTTCAGCAAGCAACTTCAGCCAGCAGGCTTCGTCGCCAGCGCTCGGTCTTCGGATACATCGGCAGGCTGCGCCGGGCACGACTGCCTCGGCCCTCCAGCGCTCTCACACCCGACTCACTGGGGCACAGCGCCTGGACTCGCCGGTGGTCGCGTTACGGTCCGACCCACTGGGCCTCTGGCGTAGCCACTGCCTCATGGCTCCTACAACCGCGCTCGACTAGCCTTTCACCACCGGCAGCAACCTCCGCCATTTGCCGCGCCGCGATCAAGCAACCTCCAGCCACGGCCTAGCCTTTCCACTAGCCTTTCTCCTTACCGGCGCGCGCCGCGCTACCTCACCGGTCAATCATCTCAGCAACCACGGTCCTTTTCAGGGCCAACAAATTGTTCCGAAGAAGTGGGTTGTCATAGGAGTAATGACAAAGACACGTTGACAAGAGTGCCCCACAGACTATACTCGTACATCATTCACACTGCTTTGTGTAACCCATTCCCTACTAGTGAATTGACTGAATCAATATGGCTAGGTTTGCAGTGCATGTAGTTCATGTATACCTAAATAGATGGCATAACCATGCAATATATAAGATATTCAATCGTTTCTGCTGTATACTGTGATGGGTTGCTCAAAGCATTAAGATACAGAACCAGAAAAAACCAATGTAACGCGTTCAACAATAGAACTTCGGTTACTTAGTAGCAAAGGTCTCAATAATCATGGCAACAGAGGAACTACTGAAGATATCAATTCCTAGGCAATGAATACAGAAACAGGTTTCTGTTACAATCGCTAGGTAAACACTGTTCTCACAGAAATGGAAAGGATGTTCTCATGACAACAGAGAAATCAACTGCTTGACTTGGTGTCCTCTATTCAGTATGCCAAGAGCTACCTCAAGAGGATTATGAGAGATGACCCTGAGAGTCGTAGGAGGTGACGAAAAGGAAAATCTCAGATCTGAGAGTAAAATACAGTCGCAAGCCCCAAGAGACTCGGACCCGAGAAAGATTGTGCTGGCAAAAGCCAACAGCATGTACAAAAGACAGACCCATCCTCTCGTCAGAGAGGGCGCCCCAAGAAACAAGACCGTGACTGTCGAACAGTAATAAATATATGGTCATGAGCCTCAGATGGGGCTTGACACCAAGACCTACTGACTGACTGACCATCAATTGCAATGTGACTTTGACAATCCAGAAGAAGAAGTAAGAAGTGAAGCCTTTATTTTATGTGGTGTAGTTACAGTAATATTGTGTTAGAACTAATTGTAGTTCCACCTAGTGACCATCCAATAAATGAATTCATCTAATCCAGAACCCATTAATTACTTGTCTAGTTACCAGGATACGTGACAGTACCTTAGGCTCAGAAGTCTCTCATGTGCTAGATTTAAGTGAGTTGTTTCAGCGCTATCTACAGACATACGTTTGGCAGTTAGAATGTTAAATGAATACTCTTATTCAAAACATATTTTGGAAACAAATATCTACCATACATTGAAGTTCCACATCATAATTATTTCAGCTACTTTACATTCACATGCATACATTTTAAGGCATAATATATTATGATAATGATGAATAATAATTAATACAACTGTTATTAAGATATCTTATAGTTCCTAATTATTAAATAAACTGGACATAATACAAATCAAGACTATTAACATCCTCAAATTTTGACAGTTCACACAGTAGCAGCATAAATGTTAAAATTCACAGATAAAGATTATTTGTATTACAAACAAAACATTACGTAATATCATTGCAATAAATAATGCTAATAATAATAATAATAATAATAATTATAATTATAATTATAATAATAAAACAACTAAGCTATATGCTTACTCAGAGCATGTCACTATTGCAAATTATGAGCAACCAATTTTGGTCTCTTCAACTTCGAATAGTGTTAAGACCTTACAACAATGGCGATATCCAAAACTGCCCAATAAAATTCTTTGATGCCCAATGGGAATAGTTGCGATCTGAGGCAAAATTTCTGTTTTTTTAATGAGATATAAACCCTTTCCTATCCAAAGCCTTCTGCCACCAACTTATGAATTTACAGCCACAATATAATCACATTCTTTGCTCATTAAATTCTTTGGATATATCCTGTATCAGTTTGCATACAGGAACAACAGATGGCAGGAGCTTTATATTTACTCTAAAAAGTATTAATTTTTAAATTTTCAAGCAAGTTTACAGCTGATATAAATGAGCATACAAATAACAAGGATGGGAAAGGGTTAAAGAAAGTATATCTTATATTCCTCCTTCTGAACATGGCACATGTAAATATGCCTTTTCTACATCTTGATGTCAACATTGTTGCCAGCAAGCTCATTCAATCTCTCTTTTTTTTTAAGGCTTTTTATTTCTTTATTTTTTCAAACTACGAGGATTGGAACTTTAATAGTGGCAACATTGCTGTAGAGACACCATGCAACTGAACCAAATAATGTCGCTTATACCACACATTAGTCACATACCTATCTTACCTCAGAGCAAATGGACTCTCCCTTCCCACATCACGTGCATGCGCAGTGACAAGAAGAACAAAGCCTCGTGTTAGCTGGCGGTCTAATGTAGTGTTGTCATGATGTTTTTGAAACAGGAACAATGGAGTTGGATAAAGATTGAATGTACCAGAGGCTGTACAGCACGACACTGTCATCAAGGTCTTCAAGAGGCTTGCGGGGAATCTGCATTGCCTTACAGACCAGTGGCAAGGTGGGTAAAAGCCTTCAACGAGGGACGCCAAAATGTGGCAGACATGCATTGGCCAGGTCATCCTACTGTCAGTGAAGAAGAAGTGTATGCTCTTTCCACATTACTAGAGAGTGATCAATGCCATACTATTCATGAGCTGGCCCGAGAGACAGGATTAGTGCATACGACTGTGCTTCACATTCTGAAGGAACACGTGGGCATGAGAAAAATTGCATCATGATGGGTTCCACATGATTTGACGGAAATGCAGAAATGGCAAGCTGTTGCTGATTTGTTCGACTGATGGGGCTGGGAAGTGCTGTACCATCCACGATACTCCCCGGACTTAAGTGCCTGTAACTTCGACTTGATTCCTAAGATGAAGGAACCACTTCGTGGCATTCGCTTCAGAACTGTTCCAGAGATTCTTCGGGCAGTAGACTGCTCCATTCAAACTATCAACACAACAGGCACTGCTAAAGGTATCCTACGACTTTCACATGGCTGGCAATGGGTTGTACACAATGCTGGTGACTACACTGAAGGACAGTATAACTTCGAAACATGCATCTATTTTGTATCAGTTGTAAGTAAATAGTTGCCACTATTAAAGTTCCAACCCTTGTATATTCTTAGCGGGAAAATTCCAACAACTTTCTCTGCAAAATATGAGTTTGTAACATTGAAAGTCTTGTGATTCTCACTCTAGATGAAACAGATCCTTTTTCTATAAAGAGGTTGTCTATAAAAGCTGCCACCTAGAGTGTTATGCCACCACAGAAACAGAAATATTCCAGCAGTCCTTGTTACAGTGTGAGGTCACATTCATACCATGAAATGCCCAAATCTGTTAACTTAATCTAGTCCTTCAATTGTTTGACTAATGAGTGTTGAAAACTAACATACCGATGTCAAAGCACAGCAGCACAATTTTACAGACAACCTTGCTGTAGACTGTAATCATGAAATGGTACACTGCAGGCTCTATCTGTTGAGATGATATTCATTTTTCTATTTGTCTGTTAAGTCGTCAGAATTGCCAGTACCTTCCTTGAAGCACGAGGTAGGTGGCAGAAAGCCATCGTCATACATCTGGATTGGAACGTTCGCCAGCATACAATGTCACAGATGCTATGTAGTTGTTCGGCATCACCTAGAAACACATGTAGTAAAGTTCACATCTAGTTTTATGAAGTGAAATTAGGGCATTTACAGCCATCCAGGCTGGTAATATAATGCATATTATAGGAAGACCGGTTTGAAGTTGTACAGTATTCTCAATATGACACTGTGTAATACAGTGTATAGGTACCAAATGTTTAGAGGAACATACGCCCCCACCTTCAGGCTAGTCTAAAGATGGAGGCAGCAGATTCCTTCGAAATGCTGACAAAAATCCACTAAACCACATGGTGTTCACATCCCAGGAAAATTATAACAAAATGATATAATTCAAGCAACATGACTGCATAATTTTAATGAATTCAGTTTAATTTTAACACCTTCCATCAAACAAAAAACCATACATTTCTTATTTATATGCCATTTCAGCCCAATTTCCCTTCCATGATATGTATACAGTGGCCATCTTGTAGTGCACTCAATTTCACCTGTCACTTCACAACATGTTTCGGCAACATAGTGCCATCATCAGGTGTCCCAATTACATCAATCTATTGCATTGCTTGCCCTCATATATCTTCACAACACCATTTAAAAAGTATTTAAAAAGTCCGCATTTGTCATAGTTGACAAATGCGGACTTTTTAAATGGTGTGAAGATATATGAGGGCAAGCAATGCAATAGATTGATGTAATTGGGACACCTGATGATGGCACTATGTTGCTGAAACATGTTGTGAAGTGACAGGTGAAATTGAGTGCACTACAAGACGGCCACTGTATACATATCATGGATGAAAATCAGTGCAACAGGATGCTAAAATATAACATTACAAATTTCACTTATTTTGAGAAAAAAAAAAAGAAAGAAAGAAAGAAATGTAGGCTTATGAGATCACCTTGCTGGCTGTGTTTTTTGTGTTTCACATAACAACTTTCGAGTGCCTGCTTGTTATAAAATAAGGAAAGCATGCTAAAAATAAGGGTAGGCGTGAAAGACTGCTGTCTCTGCCCCCCCCCCCAACAAACTTTTGAATGCCTACGTGAAATGAGCAATGATAAGAAGGCAGCAGTTGGATAAAAGCAGTGCTAGACTGCACCAGCATGTAATGGAGGAGGAAGAGAACTGTGACCAGTATGACATGGCGCCATTTGCAAGGCTGGTGATCACAGATGTCACAGGCACACTTCCTCGGAGAAGAAGAGATGGCAGTATGAATGTAGGCTACTCAGGAGCAATGTTACATGACACCTGAAAGTCAGAACAGTGCAACCAGAAGAGATGGCCACTGCTACACAATGGATCACTAAACATGTTCCCATAGTAATAAATACACAAGCAACAATTGTCAAATGAAATAATCTGTAGTGAAAGGAAAGTTAAGTGATTAATTCTTGCCAGAACCTGTTATTCTATCACTGATATAATAAATATTGTAGTGTACAGACCCGTTGCTAAGCAAAGACTGTAAACAATGACCGTTTCTAGGCAACAGTTTGGTAAACACATGCCAGTTGCAACGAATATGCATGCAACGATAGAGTTACTGTTGGAAATGGGGTGTTTTCTATGTGGCCCGTGCTGAGATATTACAACCAGGGCAGCTGGAGCAATGAGTTCTGCAAAGAAGGCTGTGAAGATAGGACTTGAGAGTGTGAAGCTGAAGAATCCTCACTGTTAAAAGTTGTTGCCAGGGAATGGCTGGTGAAGATGCAGCAGGCTGAGAAAGGCTTAGCAGGTGTGCTGGTGATTTGTGAATTGTGGAGATGAGTGGTGGGGGTGCTGTAATTACTTGTAGTTACAAGTTGTGTGTATAAGTGGTCAGTAAATCCATTCACCATCGAAACCTCGTCTACAGTCACATATACATGTGACATGTTCAAGAGATCAATGCAAATTAGGATTATGCCCATTTCATGCAATGTATAAATACAAATTATTCATACAACCATACCTCTCGAATGATTACAGTATTTTGGCATGTGACACTGCAGTGTGGTGCATAGGTGCCAGTGTTTCAGAGGAACCTGCTGCCTCCATCTTGTATCCTGAAGATGGAGGCAGGAAGTTCTTCTGAAACACTGGCACCTATCCACCACACTGCATGGCATCTTATGCCACAAGACCATAATCTTAATATTCACAGGAACCTCAAATATCATGCCTCAAAATTGAGTCTTCAAAATACGAAGGGCATACCGTATATAATGCCCGTGTTAATATGTAACATCTCAGCTGGATGTTGGTGGTGTTGTAGTAAAGGTTGAACCTTCCCGCCAATGTACGGTTAGTTTGGTTGTTGTGCGACAGATAGTGACAGCAGAGCAGTCTACCAAAATGGCATCTGACATAGAAGTATGTACAAAACAGAGATGTGTTATTGAATTTCTCACTGCTGAACAAATTGCACCCATTGACATCCATTGACGCTTGCTAAAGGTGTACAGAGACGATACAGTGGATGTCAGCACAGTGAGGCAGTGGGTAGTGTGTTTCAACAGTGGTGAAAGTGATGTGCACGAGAAACCACACCCTGGGCATCCCTGCTCAGCTGCCACTCCTCACAATGAACAGCACCTTGATCAGTGGATAATGACTAGGGAACTGTGTGCACGGCTTAATATCGGCTGTAATGCATTGGAAACGATGTTGAGGAAGCTGGATTATTGCAAAGTTTGTTCCAGGTGGGTTCCATGGATGCTTACACAGGACCACAGAACTCATCGAATGGAAGTCCGTCAGGACCTGTTGCACCAGTTTGAGGCTGAAGGTGACAAGTTTCTGGACAGCATCGTCACCGGAGATGAGATGTGGTGTTACCATTACGAGCCGGAATCCAAAAGACAGTCCATGGAGTGGCAACATCCGGATTCCCCAAGAAAAAAGAAGTTCAAGACACAGCCATCGGTAGGGAAAGTGATGTGCATGGTCTTTTGGGATAGGCGGGGTGTGATTTTGTTGGATTTCCTGGAGCCTGGTGACACTGTCAATTCTGAATGCTACAAGATGATGCTGACTAAGCTGAAAGCCCACATTTCCCGAGTCAGGCCAGAGAAGCAGACAACCTTTCCCTTGCAACATGATAACGCTAGAACCCATATTAGTTTGGCGACCACTGAGCACAGAGCACATTGCAAAGTTTGGCTGGACTGTCCTACCACATGCACCTTATAGCCCCAATTTAGCACCTTTAGACTCCCATCTCTTTGGGCCTATGAAAGATGGACTACATGAACAACATTTTCCAGACAATGATGCTCTCATTGCAGCTGTAAGAAAGTGGCTAGCCTCTGCTGGTGCAGACTTTTATGGGCGTGGCATACAGGCTCTTGTTCATTGCTGGCAAAAGTGCATAATGAATGGTGGTGATTATGTGGAAAAATAACTGTAAGTAGCTGAAATCTTGCTCTATTTAACTGCATTATTATGCTTTCTGTATCTGTTGTAGTTTTCATTAAAAAAATTAGGCATTATATATGGAATGCTCCTCGTACTACTTCTGCACAGAAGAAATACAGTACTTGCATAGCAAGAGAAAAGTGCAGAAAATGTCACTGTGGTATAGTAAAAAGTAAAGTAAAGGTATCCCTGTAGCAGGCCATGGAGGCCCATAGGGTTGTGAGATATTGAGGCTCCCAAATTTTCTAGACAATCGGCTCACAGATGGCGGTGAGGTTGTCAGCATACATGATTATAAACAATAATCAGAAGTAACCACATGTAAATGATATAATGATACAAATTCCGTCTCAAGTGCAAACAATATATTATGTGTCCTTGATCTTGTTCACCCACACTACATGTTTCGGCCACAGACGGCCATCATCAGGTGTATAACACTCACGTCGCTGTCACACTGCACTCAGCCCAAAATTTAACATTTAAAACACTTTCCTTGTTATTATCAACATCTATGTCGTTGATATCTGTCTGGATGTAGATCACTTTACACACGTTAATTCTGACGTACCTGTAGTAGCACTATAAAATCTTTAGTTCTAATTTTGAAATCCTTTAAAATTTTTTCCTCAAATTCCAAATTTAAAATTGTTAGGGTTACTCGCCCTATGTCTAAAGTGCTGTAGTGGCTAGTTCTTGTTCCCACACTGTATAGGTGTTATCCTGTGTAGTCTTCCTGTGTGCGTGCCGCTGTTATTCTTTACTACGTGTGTAACACGTAACACGTGAATAACAGCGGCACGCACACAGGAAGACTACACAGGATAACACCTATACAGTGTGGGAACAAGAACTAGCCGCTACAGCACTTTAGACATAGGGCGAGTAACCCTAACAATTTTAAATTTGGAATTTGAGGAAAAAATTTTAAAGGATTTCAAAATTAGAACTAAAGATTTTATAGTGCTACTACAGGTACGTCAGAATTAACGTGTGTAAAGTGATCTACATCCAGACAGATATCAACGACATAGATGTTGATANCATGTAAGCTGATCAAAATGACCCTGCAGTCTAAGGCATGAACTGTCATTGGCCCTTCAAACAGTGAGATCGTGGATTCAAATCCCACTGGAGACATGCATGTCTTTGTGTGTTTATTCTACGTTTGTGTTGTTCCATGCATAGGTAGTAACCTTGTGACAGGCTGATCCCCAATCCAAGGAGTCCTATTGACTGTGTATGGATTAAGAAACTGAAAAATCGGCCAAGGTCCACAAGGGCTGTACAGCCATAAATAGATAGAAACCACGTGTAAGGTTTCATCAAATTTTGGTCCAGTATTGGTACTTGAATCTGTAATTTCAATTTTAAATTCAGGATGTCATATTTTGAAACATAAGCATTAAATTGTTAGTTAAAAGCCACAATAACTTTTTGCTGACAGACAATGATTTCAAGTATGCAAGTGAGAATCTATTGAAGTTCTACAATTTATATTGAGAAGTCCATTTAGGGTTTTATGTAAATCAGATTTGTTATGAATCCAAATGACTGAAACTCGGAATTTCTCAGCAATTTTTCATGGAAATCTTCCATTATGAATTTCAACAATATCTGTGGAACAGGTT